ATGAAGAATAAAGTGATATCCAGGGTAGGTACCCAGCAAGTTAAGCAGCTAATTTCCAAAAACCCTTGGTTTTCCGTATCCCTGGTTTCCTACAGAGATCTCCTTGGGGAAAGACGCCTGTCTGCTTTTTGAGCTCTCTGGATCTTCCCATTAGATAGCTTCTCTTGGCATCTGAAAGGCAGCTTGCCATTCTGTTCTCCTGTGGAATACAGATGGCCCAGCCCACGCCTATCATTAATGAGGATCACATGCAGAGCCTTCTTGCTGGAGGCTCCCTTCAACAACCCTAGCCCTTCTTCCCCATGTAGGCCAGTCACCATTGACCATGGCATTTATGTCTGAGAAGGCAGCTTGCTGCTGCCCCACTCACAGTGTTGGGTAGAAAATCTATTAAGTATCCCTGGGAAATGAGTCCCATTCACCTAGAATCTGAAACACTGAAGATTAAGTTTTGGCTGTCAATTTGATTGCAAAGTTGAGGTTTGGGGTTCCAGCCGTCCACAGAGGCTGTTGAGCTTGAATGTGAACAAGCACTGAGAGTTCTTCAGTAGGAACATGATTAGATGCTATACAGAGGTGGACCTGATAGATCAATTTGCCAGTGCTATGTAATCTCACCCAGAATGATAGTAGGATGGGAAACAGATAAGAATGGTAAAAGCACTACAGTATAGTAGAAAAAGCATGCATTTTGGTGAGACAGATCCATGTCAAGTCTTAAGCTGTTACCACTTACTATCTGTTTGACCTTGGACAAGGTGGTTTACCTTTCTATGCACTAATTCCTCTGTGAAGTAAGTACAATGCCCATATTATAGGCTGTTCTGAAGATTAGATGGGACAGCACATGGAGGTCTTGACATGATGCTTCGTATCCAGTAAGTAATAAATGGGAATTCCCTTTCCTGTTTCCATTTCCTGTTTTCTCTCTATAGTAGAAAGTTGAAAGATATACTGCAGCATGATGGGACATCAAGGTGAACTACAAACAATGGCTCCATGTTAAATTCTATACAATTATGCTCTGTTGTTTATCCAAAACTTGATTGCTATTTGAGATGTGGGATAGTTTTTGTTTTCCTTGTTATTGCAAGTCAGATGCAGGTCTGAAATTTGTGACTAGAAGAGTTCCATACTGCTAATATGGACCCCAACAGAAAAGCACAATCTCTTTTGATCTGAACACTGAACCCCATTCCTTTAACACTCCAACCTCCTGAGAAGAGATAACCACCACCAGCTATCCTCAAGGATGTCAATGATTCTGGTCAATTTTGCCATGCATTAAGTGTGGTCTAACTGAAATCTCCTGAAGAGTCATTTTAATTCTTTTAGAAAACAAGGGACACTGAGATATGCTGTTGAAAAGGAAGTAATAGATATTGATTTAACATTGATGCTTACAAAAACAGTTCCACTAGTTTTTTGGACAAGGTAGATCAATCACTGCTAGTTCCCCATCCCATAAGAGCAGGTACCTGTTCATGTCCCCAGAAAAAAAGCCCTTTACATATTAGGCCAGTTCCAAGAGCAGTCATTCAATTGAATAAAAATCAACCTCTCTATAAGTGGATTGTTTAGACCTGATTCTGTTCTCTGGAACTACACAAATGAAATCTGATCCCTAGAAGCTATCATGATTCTCCCAATCCCTTCCCCACCCATGGGACAGAGTCCAGATCCTTGATTCTTGCTTGAAGACATGTAGAGGGGAACAATCACCCAGCAGAGACTAAAGACTGTCTTAAGAATGGAGACTCCTTCTCCTAGAGAAGTACTTTTTAGAATATTATTGCTGAGGATGGTTACTTGCATGTTCCTATCTCCACTGAGGACAGAAAAAAGAAATGGTGGGCATAAGGCAGTGTTTCTAATCTACTGATGTTGACAGACAAATAAAGGACTCTATGGTTCTTCATGGAGAGTTCTTAGAGTTGGGCCTCTTTCTATCTCTCCTAGAAAGGGAGGTAGTACTTGATCACAGAACTCTGTTTTCAAGGAGCATTTTATGACCACTAGCATTTTGTGAAACACATCTTAGGAAATTATGGTCTCAGATATGATGTGGGGACTTAGACATTTGAAATGACTTCCTGATTATTGTTAGGTCCTGGAACTGGTGGCCAGGGAACACTATGAAGTTTCCTTCCTTGGAGGGTTGATAGACTCTTCCTCCCTTCCTTCTTCCTCTCTCCTTTTGATATTAGCATTGGGCATCCACTTGCCTGGGAGTGTTGAGATGTAGGCCTGGGACATAGGGAATCTGGAAGTCTAGATCCTTCCCATCCCCATGATTCTATTTTTATGGATCCAATTGTGGTGTGTTCCACGGAAGGTACAGCCTAGCTGGGACAGGAGGTAACTGAGGGTTTTGGCCAAGAGGAGAGGGGGCTAGAGATGGGAAAAGTTGATGCAATTATTTTTGTCAGAAATTGGAACCAAAGCAGCAGGAGAGAGTAAGTTTTAAGACTCTCTGGCAAAGTAACTTCCTAATCTGTCACTGAGTATGTGTAAAAAAGTGATTAGTGGGTCTCTATATTTATCATGATTACTCACAAATATGTAATTTGCATAATATATACAGCACATTAAGTACTATGTCACCTTATATAATGTGCATATGTATAATGTATATGCATGTTATGTAACGCCAGTCTGGAGGCTCTTCCAGATTCTGCCAAGTATTTCCTAATTTATTTGGCAATTTTAACATATCTTTTCCATCTGTGGAAAGAACTATCTTGAGAGGAGCTGGTCTCTGACCTGAAATATAATCATTCTACTAAGTCTATCTCCATTCTCAACTCACTGGAGGAAATCCACAAAGACCAAACCATAATGAGATGCAACTCTTGGCTCAACAGTCCAGGGACGATACAATGTATTGAAGATTTTCTCTTTCATTATTTTTATTGCTGGTGGGGTAGAACTGTGGGGGCAGGTGAGAACATGTCTGTGGCATGGTCACATTCAGAATAAGATGAAGACTAAGGGACTGGATTTTGCCCTGATTGCCTAACTGTGATTTTGAGAAGTCACTGAACCATCGTTAAGCTTCATTTTCCTCATTACTAAGATTGGGATGGCAATACCTTCTTTGTCAGCCTTTGAGGTTGCTGGGAGGGCCACTAAGATGAGGTACTCCACAGGAAAAAAGCATGGTCACAGTAGTTAAGGAATGAGTTGCAACAGCACATTAGACAACAATACTAGACTTACCAAATAGGAAGTGCAATTCCACTGATGTATTATACTCTGTGGTTCTAAGGAGGCCTTGGGACATGTCTCTCAAGCAACACTGCAAGTCTTATGCACTAGGCTAGAGCAGGCCAGGGCCACTCTGACTTGTGAATCACTGAGACACAGTTTCACCTGTTGATAGTGCCATGTGTCAACAGCCTCAATCTTGGGGGATCAGGGATGAAACACATGCAAAAATGTCCATAAAATGTCTCAGAATTAGTGACCCTAAAACCTGCCTTTGTTTCAAAATCAAGTAGCTTCCAAGATAGTACCTGTTGTTATTCCGGAGCTTGTTAGTCCATCCCATCACCAAGGATCCCATCATTCAAGACATTCTTCAGACGGCCTGCTTTTCCCCTCACCCACTGCTTTGCACTGTGAGGTCCAGCAGGACGGTCCTAGATGACTGCTTCCTTCACAGTTAGGGTCAGTGTGTACACACAATCTTAATTTCCCTTCCTTGTGCAAAGCTCCTGACCCAGTGCAAGATTAGAGAGAGCTCAGTGGAGCAATGCCCATGTTTCCTCTTAAGAAATCCCAGGGGGGATGGAGGTCCAGTGGAGTGAAGGCGTCAAGGCAAATGTTTCTGTCTAGAATGAAGCTCTACACAGACTTGCCCTCAGGAAAGGAAGGTGATGCTGGCACCAGCTGCAGGAAGCCCACTGGGCTCTACCAAGACCCCTCTGGGTACCGGCTGGGAGCACCCTGCAGAAGGCGCCTCAGTCCAACTTGTGAGTCTCCACTGAGGTCATCTCTGCAGCCAGAGGTGTTTCCAGATTAAGAGGCCATGATGACTGTGATGAGTTGACATGAGGAGGGTTTAATTTGATGATCTGTCTAGTGCCTTCAACCCAGACCAACTTCTTACCAGTTCAGGCCAGAGAGATCTCTGGGAAGCATCACGGGGCCCCCATTTTCTTGTGTGGGCCTGTCCTGTCCACACATGGGCTACACATTCATTCTTCCTTGGCAACCTGGATTCGAACGGACCATCATATCTCAGTGACCAGAAATGACCCTATTCTAAGACATGTGGGTTCTTTTCTCTAATAAATATCCTATTAGTGGCACTTATTCTCAAACCACATTAGCTAAGATACCATGGACAAGTCTCTTAACTTTTCGGAGACTCGGTGTCTTTATCTGACAAATGGGAGAGTAAATTCTGCCCAGCATATCTTTCATGGTTGTTTTGAGAATCCAGAATAGGAATTCTCAGTCTCTTTATGATAAGAAGCTACTTTCACTTCCCTTAAATCTCATGATCACCATGGAGAAATGTGTCTTGACCATGAAATGGAGGAATGGGGGAGTGAAAACTTTCTTTTTCCTTCCCACTTTTCTGTTTCTATTCTACATATTTTTTTTCAATCAGGAGAAGTCCATCAGTAAATAAATATTTATATATATAAATATATATGCTACATATATGTACACACACATTAGACCACCAGAAGGGCCTTCAGGTCACACTCTGGGATTGGTAGGTGCAAAGAGGCAGATGGGAGCCACCTGACGGTGTATCTCCTGTCTTCTCAGCAAAGGGCCCTTCCTTCTCATCTTCTCTGCCTTCAGGAATAGTCTGCCACCAGGGCTTGGAACTCAAACAGGAAACACGCTTTGGCTTGAAAAAGAAAGAAGCTGGGGGTGGTTTTTTTCTTCCCTTTTTACACAATATTATGACACCAATTTGAAAAATAAATCCCAGTTTCTCTGCTTTCCCTCCCAGGTGTTCACAGAACTAGGAAAATAAATACCACATCTAAGGTGTGCTGTGCAGGCAGCTCTGGGGGCTCTTGGAGCCGTCTCCAAACAAACACGCAGCCACCAGGAGAAGGCTCTGGGAAAATAACAAGTGCCCACTGACAGCATGGAGAACCAAGAATGGAAACACAGCTTTCCACAGGCTTTCTGCCTCCTCAGCAAGTTCAGGCAGAAGTTGCTGCTTGAAGGACAACTAAGAAACCAACGTGCACTTGCTGAGCCCTGCCAAGGGTTATGCTCTGAGAGTTGGAGGCTGTTTGTCTCTGTACAGAGGGACCTTTGTGTAAGTTCTCTGGAATGGGAGCTCTTTCCCTTGGCCACATCCGATCTCACCATAGGCAGGAAACCTGCAGCCTGCTTCTTGGGAGTGTCCATGAGGGACCTTGCAGGACCGGTGAGAAGAAAGGGGGATTTCTCCTTCAGTGTCAGAAAGTCCCACTCAGGCCTTCTGGGAATGTGGCGTTTGCTGCAAAAGCCAACTACACCCTGGTGGGCCCTGGGTCCATTCAAAATTTTCTGGGGTTACTGGCTCTGCTGGGGTGTGTCCATTGTTGAAGTAGAGAGAGTATATGGAAAGATGAAGATTTCTTCATGAAGGTGGCTTTGCTTCCACTGGTTAGAGTTGAGTGTGCATGTGTGTGCGTGTGTGTGTTCATGTGTGTGTGTGTGTGTGTGTGTGTGTTACAGTTTCTTATTTTCTCTCTTGGTTTAACTGGCATTTGGCACGTTGTTTAGTCTTTTGAACGGCTCTTCCTCCTCAGTGAAAAGAAGCTGCTCTTCTGGGGAGGCCCCATCATCATAGGCGCTTGATTCTTGTGAGTAATTTTAATCTAAAAGCAAAGAGGCATAAATGAATTAGTGGCATGCGAATCCCAGTAGCCTATGAGAGAGTGAGTCGCAGAGGGAGGAAGGGAGGCCAGCTTCGGGTTGGAAGGATCTCCATGCAAAAGGACGATTGTCCTTGAACGGCTTCAAAATTGGCAACTGGACCCTCACTGGGCCTGGAGTTTGGCACTGCTGGAAGTGAGGGGCGGAAACACTGGGGAGAGACAGGTGTGAGCTTCCCACGTGGTGATCAGCTCGCACCTGTCTTGTGTCCTTGCTATTCATAGACTCTCAAAATGTCACAGCCGGAGTAGACCTCATGGACCATCTCATTCAACCCCGCTGCAGGAGAGACAAAGGAATGGAGGCCTGAGGCTCCGCTGAGCCTTGGATTAGCCTGAGGTCACACAGAGAGGGCAGAACAACGAAGAGCCCAGTTCTTCGGATTCCTAGCTTCCTCTGCTCCTGTCCATTCCGGTCCAGGCACTGCAGAGATGTGAACCAGTAACTCATAGTCAGCCTAGAGGCTTCATTCTGACATCTGACCCAACCAACATCATGTGGAAAGTTTCAAGTGAATCTCTTAGGTGTTTCCTCTTTTCTTAGCTTTCCAGGAAAAAAACCAACTTTCATTTTAAAAGCTTTTTTTGTTTCCTTTTTAAAATTTTAGGTTTCTTTTTTTTTTTTTTCCCCTCCTGCAAACTTTAAGTTAGTGGGAAGTGAAAGACAGACACTGGTGAATTCTCATTTTTGCCTTTCTTCCCAACCTTATCCTCAGGGCATGGCTTCAGAACGTTAAACCCCTATTTGAATGTGGCCTGATGACACTGCACATTACTAATCGGCATTATCAGTCCATCAGAATTTATCAAGTGTGACACATGTCCAGGGTAGGAAGACGATGTGGGAGCAAGAGGCACTTAGGATTTAAAGATCTGGGTTTGGGTCCCAGATCTCCTGCTTCTTTCTTTGCTGTGAGATTCTGGACAAATCATTTAACCTTCAAAGCTATGCTTCAAAGCTATGAGGGTAATAACATTTGTCCTATTTTCCTCGCAAAGTTGCTGTGAAGATCAAACGGGGGACTGTCAACAAAATCCCACTGTAAGCTGTCAAACGGATGTAATGCTTAAGTAATTGTTATCTTGCACTGGAGGTGAAGGAGAAAGCGGTATGTCAAGAGAAGCAATCTAGGAGCTCATTCTCGTGGCTTCTACATTATTGGAACTGACAGTATGACCACAGAGAACCACAGAAGAATTCTTGCAGAGAGAGACCCATCAACAAGTTTAAATTAATGTAGGACAGACCAAGTGGTGTCAAAAGGAAGTTAGGTAAGGAATGAGAAGAGTCTGAAGGGAGCAACTGAGGAGGAATTTTAAGATTTGAAAGGAAGAGAAGGAAAATGGATCGGTGCAAAGAGAAAGGGAAGATACTGGATGAATGCATGATCTGGTTGAGTGAGGGCAAAGGATGAGAAAGGAGGTCAGCAACACAGGCGGGGCAGTTAGTCTAGGGCTTTAAAGGGGAGGGGGCAGAGGCCGGGTGTAATGTGAGGTAACGGGGAACCATGATAACTTTTAAGCTGGAGAATAACGTGAGGAAGAAAAGAGTTTCAGGGAAAGTATTCCACAGCTGTCGTCAGGGCAAGTTAGAGAGGGGGAGACTCTGGCTAAAAGGTACTACTGCAAGCCAGGTTTAAATTTATAAGTCCCCAGGATATGGAAAGACAAGGCTGAAACCAAAAGACAATGTGGATAATTAGCATAACCTGGGTGACAGAAGCTGAAAAACAACCCTGGTCTTCACCACCCAGAAGCTCCGGAACAGGAGGGTACCTTTGTGTTTTGTGGCAGTTCCCAGAGGAGCAGACCAAGAATACATCAAGTACCATTTTGTGCTATGGACTTTGTTATGGGTATTACGTTTATCTCAGAATTCATGGAAGTGAGGCACAGATGAGGGGCTCTCACAGAACTTGTCTGTGGCATGTAATTTAGCACCAGTGGATCATGGTGACTTGTGGGCGCATTCCCTTGTGTTGCGGGAAGCCTCTTCTCATTCCTGAACCCCGGAGCCCCCTGTGGGGAAGAACTCTATCACCGTGGTACTCCTTGGACCAGGGCACTGCCCTGGGAAGCACAGCACATGCCATGGAAGTAGTGATGGATGAGCACCAGGAGAGAATGTCCTGGCAGTGGAGACGGCTATGTTTGGGGCAGACAGTGACAGCTGATGCGCTGCCTACATTTCCTGCTGATAGAGCCTATATTTTTTTTAGATAATGGAAGACCCTTACTTCTCCTTTTTCTTTCTCTAGCTGAGCAATTTATTTGCTGGTTAGCACCTCCAGGGCGAAGAGGAGGAAGTGAAACTCAGATCCCTCCCATCTGGTTTTTCAGCAGTTTTGACAAAGGTCTCGATGGGGTAGATCATCAACATGGATATCCTGGGTAACATGGGATTTTGATGTGGTTTGTGGAGTCTAGTGCCATAAGTAACTGAGAATTCACTGTATGTACGCATCGAAGGCAAGAAGTAGGAGAACATATTCTCATTTTGAGTCAAAGAGATGTCAGTCTTTTATCCCCTTTTCCCCCATTTAGGAGAAGCTAGTGAGTTCACTTGTTCAAAGCTCATTGTAGGTAGTTGGATGTGGCAAAGCTTGCCTTTTCAACCCATGATAGAAAGACGGCATCCCATATCGCTGTAGTTAGAACCCAATTTTCTCTGCTAATTGGGCTGGTCAGGCAATTAACTTAAGTCTTCATGATTTTCTTAAAGACCTTTCATGAGATTTACAACATCTGACAAGCACTAAGAACAGCAACCCTATTTTCTTAGTTCTCTGCTCTATTAGGGAGAAAACTGATACAGTAGGCACTTGTGATAGCTCAAAGTTCACAAAACCACTGTAGTTTGTAATTTCCCCTTTAAAAGGGAGTAAATCTAAAATTTTACTAGTGCCAGGTATTGACTTTGTTCTGGGGGCCATTTCCCACAAACCAACACATTTTTATTACTTTAAGAGAAGCAATAAACTGAGGGAATCCTTCCTGAAGGTTGCCCCTCAGGGCAGATGGTTCAGATGATGTCCCACAAAATGGCCATTAACTGTTAAGTATGGACTCATCCCAAATCATTTGGGAAACACTCCTGCCTAAAGGGAGCCTAGGAGAGATGGCGGGGGGGCTTGCACAATCTTTCAGGTCTTAGCTGTTAATGGTTCTCTAAGTTCTTAGGATGCCCAGCTTCACTAGAATGTTTCCTGCCATCAGAGGCTTCCAGATATAGCTGGATAAAACTAGGTTTTGCTAGTGGTGGAGGAAAATCTGAGATTTATTAATAAGTCAGGAAATTTGACTAGATTATTGGTTCTCCAAGTGGGGTCCCTACACCAGCAGCATCAGCATCTCCTAGGAACTTGCCAGAAATGCGAATTCTCAGGTATCCAGACTTACTGTATCAGAAACCCAGCCATCTGTATTTTAAATGCCTTCTAGGTTATTTGGTTGCACATTCAAGTTTGGGAATCACTGGACTAGATAACTAGAATCCCTTCCCACTTTGAGATCCAACCCGTGGGGGAATATTCTTAACTTAAAGGCTCAAATTATGCTGTCTAACTGTGACGGTAAAGAATGAGAGGTCGTCTTACAGCACTGCAAGCATAAGGCAAGTTTTCTTAATAATACATATTTTATATACAGATTTCACACATTTATATGTATAAACAGGGGTGCCTGGGTGGCTCAGTCGGTTAAGCGGCCGACTTCGGCTCAGGTCATGATCTCATGGTTCGTGGGTTTGAGACCCACGTTGGGCTCTGTGCTGACAGCTAGCCCAGAGCCTGGAGCCTGCTTCTGATTCTGTGCCTCCCTCTCTCTCTGACCCTCCCCTGCTCACGCTGCCTCTCTCTCTCTCAGAAATAAATAAAAACATTTAAAAAAATTATATGTATAAACAAACATGTTCATTTTGGAGAATTCAGGAAATATGGAAAATTTAAAAATCACGTAGAAGACATTGCTGTTAATTTTTTGGTGTATTTTTTTCAGTTTGTTTGTATGCTTTTATGTTTTTAACAAATTGAAATCAGTTTCTTAATCTGTTTTCATTTATCATTATTTTACAAGCATTTCTGATGTCATTAAATATTCATTAAATATGGTTTTCAGTGGCTGAAAATAATTCTATTAGATGAATCTCAGTTTTATTTAATGCTATCCTTAAGTGTTGGGCTTCTCCCCCAATTCTTCTTTTTTTCTTTCTTTTTTTTTTTTTTTACTGATAACCTATATTTTACTCAAAACAAATTACTAAAAGAATAATTGGGAAAAAAAAAAAAGGGTCAAAGGAAATGAACTGGACCAAATGCTTTCCAGAATGCTTTGAGGTTTATACTCTTATCTTGCTCCTTGAGCGTGCTGGTCACACCACATCTCTACAGCAATGAATATTATCTTAAAAAGAAAAACAAATTGTGCTCCTTTGACAAGTGAAACATTGCATGGGTTTCTATTTCAAGGTGAAATTCTTTCCTCTTTTTTTCTTAATTTGTGATACTAAATATTATTTCATGGCTTTGTTAGCCCATGGGATTATGTCTGTGAGCTGTCTGTTCACTATTGCATTGTTAGCATTTTCTCCTGGTTTCTAAGAGCTCTTTAGACAGTATGGAAATTCACCTGCTCTCTGAGATAGCCTTTTAAGAAAGATCTTATCCTTATCCTTATCCTTAGCCTTTAACATTTCTACATGAAGGGGTGCCTGGGTAGCTTAGTTGGTTGAGCGTTCGACTCTTGATTTCAGCTCAGGTCACGATCCCAGGGTCATGGGATCGAGCCCTGTGTGGGGCTCTGCACCGAGTATGGAACCTCCTTGAGATTCTCTCTCTCTTTGTCCCTCTCCCTCACTGCATGCTCTCTCTCTCTCTAAAATAAAAATTAATAAAATTTCTACATTGATTCTTGACTTATAGAATTTTAAATTTGTTAATAGTCAA